TTCCCTTTGGGGTTGCTGTAGGTGATCTGGAAGTCTGGTTTTGAGACTTATTTATGTGTTTTTTCATTTCTACTGAGGGGGCGGGGGGTGCTGTTAGTGCCTGCGCGGCTCACCTCCTCTGAGCTGGGAGAGGTGGGACAGGGCCCGGGAGGGGTGGTAGGCATGGTGGCCCTGAAGCCCTTTCCTCTGGGCTGGGAGCGGCGGGAGGGATGGTGGCCGGGATGCTCCTTCCTCTGTACCAGGAGCAGTGGGACAGCAGCTCAGAACCCCCTACCTCAGGGCCGGGAGCAGCGGGATGGATAGTGCCCTGGAAATCCCTTCTTCTGGCTGGGAGCAGCAGGAGGGATCGAGCTAGATGGATCTTAGCAATCATTTTAGTAAAAAAGCCAGACATAATAATAAACCTAGGAATTTGTTGTGTATTCCTTTTATATCATTTAACATTTTGAAAATTAATTTCAAAGTTACTACTTTTGAAAAAGCCTTGAGACATCTAATTTTATCCATTTTTGCCATTACTGAAATGATTTTTTAAAGTCAAGAAAATAGTAAATATGCCAAGTGTGCTGGTGCTACTCAGGAGCCTGAGGGAGTGTTACCAAAGGGTCAAGCCCAGCCTGGACAACTTAGACCCTATTTCAAAGTTAAAAAAAAAGGATTAGAGATGTAATTTAGTGGTAGAGCATCCTCTGGGTACACCAATCCTGGGAAAATATTAATCTTATAGTAATAGTTACCTGTCACCTATCGGTAGCCCAGGCTGGCCTTGAACTCATGGCAGTCCCCTGTGTGGGCCTCCCAGGTACTCTGATTACAAGTGTGCGTCACCAGGCCCAGCTGCCTCCTTGTTTTGTTTGTGTCTTAAGTGCGGAAGTAAGCAGGTGGCAAAACCACTGAGCTAAATCCCTGGCCCCAAGAACTGTAAAACTTTTACTATAGATGTGGGGGGTTTTTTGTTTTGTTTTGTTTTTTGAGACAAGATCTTGCTCTGTAATTCAGGCTGGCCTTGAACTCACTGTATAGCTCAGGGTGGTCTTGATCTTGCAGCAGTCTTCGTGCCTCAGCCACCCAAGTGCTGGGATGACAGATATGCACCATCATGCCTGGCTACTATAGCTTTAGAAGGTTTTATTCTAGAAGGTGAAGGCAAGAAAAGGGTAATGTAATCTGGGGAACGAGAAAGGTAAAAATTATACTACCTTCCCTGTGTTTATAGGTCTTGCTTTTCATCTCTTTTGAAATCCTGACCAGACACTTAAATGGTTTAATTGGTTAAAGGAACTTTTTGCTTCCTTTCTTACTCGTTTTTCTGTTTCTTGGGTCACCTAATTCTGGCCTTAGAGCATACCAGGTTCTGTCATTTGTTTCTTGTATGTGATGGAAAATTAAAATGACAAATACTAAAACTAGTTTTTTATAGGGATATAATTGATATCGACATGCAGAAAATAAGTAAAATAATTTCGTATAGTCATCTTAAATCAGGGGTGTAGCTCAGTGGTGGAGTGCCTGCCTAGCATTTGTGAGGTCCTGGTTTCCATCCCTTGTGCTACAAATGATAGTAATAAAAGCCGGGTGGGGTGGCACTCACCTGTAATCCCAGCACTCTGAGAGTTGGGAGGATCACAAGTTCAAGCTCAGCCTGGGCAATTTAGTAAGACCCTGTCTCAAAATAAAAGGGGTTGGGATGTAGCTCAGTACGATGCCTGGATTCAGTCCCCATTACCATGAACAAGCAAAATGAATTGCTGAGATCCTGTGTAAACTTAGACAAACAAAATCTCATTGTAGAACTGCAGTAGATTTTTTTGTCGAAACACCAGGTTTTCACTTCATTGGTATTTGTACTCCTGAAACATTTTAATTAAACACTTGCTGTGTACAAACTTACATCTTAATTTCCAGTTATTGAAAAGGAAATGAGAATTTGCCAGAAACACTTAAATGGAGAAATTAACTTTTTTTCCAGTAGAATTTGCTTCTCTCTATTGAAACTGGATTTTGGTACCTATTATCTAACTTTCCTGTATTCCCCTTCCCTCTTAAACTTCCTAACTTCTAATACTCACTATTCTACTCCCTTCTTTGAGATCAACTTTTTTTAGCTTCTGCATATGAATGAGAACATATGGTATTTGTCTTTCTGTGCTGGTCTTATTACTTAGTTTCCTTCAGTACTTTCCATTTTTACTATAAATAGCAGTGTTTCATTTTTCTGTATGGCTGAATGATATTCCATAGTGTTTATATACTTGAATATATAAACATTTCATATATATAAACATATATCACATTTTATTTATTCATCTGCTAATGAATAACTCAGTTGAGTTAGTGAATAGTGGTAAAATAACATGGGAGTGTAGGTATGTCCATTTCAGACCCTTTGGATATATCATACCTAGAAATGGGATGGTTGGATCATACATTTTTGGTTGTTCGAGAAGCCTCCATACTGTTCTCCATTGATGGCTTTAGTAATTTACATTCCCTCAGCCATGTATAAGATTTCTCTTTTTCCTCTGCATCCTTGCCAGCATTTATTTTTTGCTTTTATCATAATAGCTATTTTGATGGATGAGATATTGCATTGTGAAATTTCTATTCAGATCATAGGTCTATTTGTTTTTTGGATTGTTTTCAGCTAAGTTCCTTATATATCCTTATCAGGACACAATATAAGTTCCTTATATATCCTTATATATTCTAAGTTCCTTATATATTCTGGATATTAATCCCTTGTCAGATGAATATTTGCAAATAATTTCTCCCAGTCTGTATGTTATCCTCACTTTCAGTTGTTTCCTTTGCTGTGCAGCAGTTTTCTAGTTTGATACAATCTAGTTTGTACTTGATTTTGTCACCTGTGCTTTTGGAGTCATCCAAATATATCATTGCTTATACTGATATCTTGAAATATTTCCCCTTTTTTTCTTCTAGTAGTTTCATAGTTTCAGAGCTCTTTGACCATTTTGAATTGATTTTAGTATATGGTGAAAGGTATTAGGACCTTGCGCTTGCGAGGCAGGCTTGACACCACTGAGCTAAACCCCCGGCCCTCAGCACCATTTATTGAAGAGGCTATCCTTTCTTTAGTGTATGTTTTTTGTTCCTTTGTCAAAAATTAGTTGGCTATAAATGGGCTATAGATCTTTTTTGATGTTGTTTTTTGTTTGTTTTGTTTGTTTTTATGGTCAGGGTCTCACTCTGTAATCCAGGCTGGGCTTCAACTCATTTTGTAGCCCAGGCTGGCCTCAAACAGTCCTTCTGCCTCAGTCTCCCAAGTGCTGGGATTACAAGCCTGTGCCACCATGCCTGAGTATAGATCTTATTTTTAGGCTCTCCTTTCTGTTTCTTGGTCTATGTATGTCTTTTTATGCCAGTTATGCCCCTTTAGTATGTTCTGAGGTTAAGGATTATTATCCTTCCAGTTTTTTTCTTTTTGCTTAAGATCAGTTTGGCTATTCACAGTCTTTTGTGTTTCTCTGTATATTTTGATTTTTTTCTATTTCTGTGAAGAATATCATTGATAATTTAATGATAATTGCATTGGATCTGTAAATTGCTTTGAGTAGTATGAACATTTTAGCAACATTCTTTCAACTCATGGACCTAGGCAGGCTTTCTATTTTTTGGTGTATATCTTTCAGTGTTTTGTAATTTTTTTTTTTTTTTGGGTACCGGGGATCAAACTCGGGTCCTTGCGCTTGCGCAGCAGGTGGCGAAACCACTAAGCTAAATCCCCAGGCCAGTGTTTTGTAATTTTTATTTTTAAGAATTGCAACGTTTATAAATTTGTACTATTTCTTTTTTTCTTTTGTTTTACACTTCATTGATCCCATATAGGGCCTAGCACATGCTAGGCAAGCATTTTACCATGGAGCCAAATCCCTACCCCTCCATTTCTAATGAGAAAAGCTACTAATGCTTTAAATATGTAACTTGAATATTACACAAACTATAAAATTTTTTTAAAATCATAAGACATTAGCATTTTTATATGGTACCCCTGAGATTTGACACAGTTTAATATTAGAAGGCTTTATCAAGTTATATTTGTAGCAGTAATTCTGAAAGCTCTGTATTTAAAAATGAATTTACAGTCTGTGAGTTTATCCTACACATACATGCACATGGTGCAAAGACAGATAAATGGATGATCATTGTATCTTTATTTCTAATTGTATACTGGAGTAATCCTAAATATTCAGTACTAAGAGAGCCTGTTACATAGGCTTGGTACATGCCTAAGATGGGGCCTATAAAAAAGAATGAGGTGGGCCAGGGATTTAGTTCAGTGGTGCCATCGCCTGCCTCGAAAGCACAAGGTCCCGAGTTCAATCTTCGGTACCAAAAAAAATGAGGTAATTTATATGTTGTCATATTGGTTGATCTCCAAGACATAATAAAGTTAGTTAACAACAGTATGAGGTATTCCCCTTTATTTGGGAGAAAGGGATGTGCACAGGACATATATGTGTTTCTGACTCAAGTTCCTTGAAAATGATAATACTGCCTTCTTAGATTTGTTACGTAGATTCAGTGGATTATTACTATCAAGTAAGCTCTATATTAGTATTAGCCGTTTTATATACTTGTGGGGATCAGTTTTTAGAAGGGTATATTAGAAATTGTTCTTTGAGAAAAAGACTAACTTGGTTAATGGGAAACATTTTTTCAGTGATTATTTCCTATTTCTTTTTTTTTTTTTTTCCTATTTCTATATTGTGTACTTTTTCAACTTAGAAAGTTTGTCAAAATATTTGTTGGGGAAAATGAATGTGATATTTAATTTAGTGATGTTTGTAATGATGTAAATTATTTTGGCTATGAGAATAATATCACAATTTAAAATAAAAGCTAAAAAATTGACCTAAGATACTACATTTAGCATTTTAATGTTTTGAGATACAGTTATAATAATATGTATAGTTTTATATTCCAGAGTTGCTGTGTAGTTTTCGTAACTGGGATTTTAAGTAGTTACATACTAAACCCAGTAAGTAAACAAAATGCAGTTTACTTAACCTTCCTATCTTATTGTCCACTTCAGGTTGCTTCTGTGTTTTTTCTTTCTTTATACATTTTTGCTGTTTGGGGGATCGAACTCAGGGCCTCACAGATTCTAGGCAAGTGCTCTACCATTGAGCCACATCCCTAGCCCCATTGCTGTTTTATTTTTAGTCATTTCAGTGAATACCATAATTCAGAGTTTTTTGTAAGAAAGAACTCCAGACTTGAAGTTTTATAAAGATATGTAACTTTTGGGGTATTGTAATTATACTTTTTAATCAAGAATATTTATTAGGCCCCGCCCCACCCCCGTCGGCCCAGTGGCCCAGGCGCGGCGCAGCAGCGTGGCCGGGAGTGTGCCTGTCGTGGCTTGCAGCCTGCACACAGCCTCGGTGCCCTTTGCGTCCTGCCCGATTCGGCGCTGGCAGCTGTGGGCAGGTGCCGTGCGGTCACTGAGCACTGGGATGGCTCTGCTCAAAGCGCGTAAATTCTCAGGGAAACACGAATGGATAACAACAGAAAATGGTATTGGAACAGTAGGAATCAGCAACTTTGCACAGGAAGCTTTGGGAGATGTTGTTTACTATAGTCTGCCTGAAGTTGGGACAAAATTGGAAAAGCAAGATGAGTTCGGTGCTTTGGAAAGCGTGAAAGCTGCCAGTGAACTCTATTCTCCTCTGTCAGGAGAAGTAACTGAAATTAATGAAGCACTTGCAGAAAATCCAGGGCTTGTCAACCAATCTTGTTATGAAGATGGCTGGCTGATCAAGATGACAGTGAGTGACCCTTCAGAACTAGATGAGCTCATGAGCGAAGAAGCATATAAGAAATATGTGAAATCTATTGAGGAGTGAAGTGGCACCCAAAATAAACTAGTGTGAAGTGACTTCTTCTAGCAGTGTCTGCAAATAGTGGTGGACAGAAGACTTGAGATAACAACCTTTAGCAGTACTATAATGATGGAAAAGAAAGAAACCACTCTCATCACTGCTTCTGGACGGAAAGACCTCTTAACTCCCTAGTGATTGCAGATAAACACAATGTGCATCTTTTTTATATAAACTTTATGATTTTTAGACTAGGCTGTAGGTTCTGATATTCAGAATTCATGAAATTACCCATGGTAAAAACTAGTTATGTAATTCAAGGATAACACTTGTTATCATAAGCCTTACAAAATACCTAACTTGCTTACATTTCTCCCTGGATTTGGGCCAGAATACTCAAGAGTGTGTCACCTGGACAGTGTCAGATGAAGAATGACACTTTCTTAATTTTGTAACACTGCATTGGCTGGAGCTGTTTTTATAGTGAAGCAACAGCTTTGCAGCACAGTAAGAAACAAAATATTCAACTACTTTAAAAAAAAAAGAATATTAGTGTAGGCTATGCAGATTTACTGGTGAGTCAGAATAGTTTGGAGCTTTCATTTATTTATATGAAATAAAACACCTTTCATTTGAGTACTTACTGAATTTTAAAACTTGATTTTTCCAATTGTCTGTGATAATTATGGAACCATTTTGATGTTTTTTTACTTAATATTTTAAAATTTCAAAAGTAATATATTTTTATTTTACTCTCTACCAGTCATTTACATTCTTTTATTTCCTTTTAAGAGTAACTTGGATTTAGCAATGATAGATGAATGAAGATACACATATTCTCCATTTGAATTGCCTTTAAATTTTGATTATACTTGTGAATTGGTAATACATATTTATTATCATATTTGTTTATTTCAGTGGCCAAGGAAGTTTGCTCCAGCCTTTTATATACTATAGATTTCTTACTCTTCGGTATTCCTCTAGAAGAAATCCATATTGTCGGTAAGCTGATGAATGATTAGTTTAAATTAGTTTTATTTATAAAAACTATTGACAATATACAGTTTTTATAACTTCAGAGTTATTTAGCTAATAGTTTAGAATTTAGAATGAAGAATTGTTTTTGTGCATTTAAGTTCTAGGCCTTAGAATTAGGTAGGATTAATGAAGAGTTGGTTTTATAGATCTCTTTGAGTTATGATGGGGTTGTATCCTGATAAATTTGTCATAAGTTGGAAATATCATGAGTTGATATTTATCCTATCATAGCATAGCAACACGACTGGCTGACTGGATGTTAGAACTTTCTGCCATTTAACAGCAGAATTACAAAAAAGAGTACTATACACACATTGCTATAGCTTTGGGAAAGATTAAAATTTAAAGTACAGTTTCTATTGAATGGCTATCACTCTTATAGCATCATGAGATTAAAAATAAGTGAACGTACAGTAAGATAAACTGTACATTGAGGACCACCTGTATTTTCAGAAATTGATATTGGAGATATATTTGACTATTGGAGACCCCTGCAGCAGATCTCGATCTCAATCTCCTCCTTGGTCCTGTGATGCATGGCAAGAAGAAAGAGAGACAGAATTAAAGAGACAGAGATGGGGAACTGGAATGACCAGTGCTTGAGCAAGCAGCAAAAGACTTCAGCAAGCAAAGGCCCTGGCCAGCCAGAACTGTCGATATTTATTGGTGACACAGTCATTGTTAGGTTGGGGTTAGGGGGCTACATGTGGTCACCAGGGATTCACTCCTGATGCAGGCAAGGCTTGTAAAAGGAGAGACAAAGCATTTTTGTGTTAGGCTGGGAACAGAATTTGGATAAGAGTCACTCTGACCTTGGCTGTGTGTTATATCATGTGCTTTAGTCAGATTCACTTTTTTATTTTTTTGGTACCGGGGATCGAACTTGGGACCTTGCTCTTGCGAGGCAGCCGGTGGAACCACTGAGCTAAATCCCCAGCCCCAGACTCACTTCTTAAGCCAATTGTGGGGTTAACTCTTTATAGCCTATACTGCTTACGGCCTGCTTTGGGCATAATCAATGGGATGATCTGCTACATTTGACTCTTTTTAAAACACTGCTAACACTTAGGGAATATAAAGATGTAAGAGACTTAAGTCCCATTCTCAAGGATATTTCCTTCAGGATAAGGTATTTATAGGTCAATACACAGCAGTTTCCTCCTTATCCACAGTTTCACTTTTTGTGGTTTCAGTTGCCTGTGATCCAAAAATATTAGGTGAGAAGTTCCATAAATAAACAATTCATAAGTTTTAAATTGTGTGCAGATCAGAGTAGGGTGATGATATCTTGTGCTGTCCCACTCCCTCTCATGTAGGATGTGAATCATCCTTTTGTCCAGAATATCCATGTTGTATAATACCTAATTTATACATTAAGCTTTATCAAAGTATGTATGTATAGAAAAAAGCAAAGTATATGTAAGATTTGTTACTGTCTGTGGTATCAGGCATCTCTTGGGGGCTCTCAAACATATGCCCCTTGGGTAAGGGGGAATGCTGAATAATAAATTGACATATGTTTGCTTTATTGTTTTAGTACTATAGACCACAGAAAGGAAAAGTGATTGGGCCAGAAGATAAGCCTAGGAAGGCTTCCCCAAATAGGATTTAAATTTGTTATGGAAAGATTAAAACCGTTGAATATACAGTAAGAACAGGGGAAAGCATTTTAGGTAGAGAGACAGTAGCAGCTTGAATTTAGAGGCAAAAAAATACAAGCCATATTTGAGGCGCATTGAGTGTACATCTTTCACTCTAATGGAGATTCCAAATGGTGAGTTGCTGGAACTAGGACTAGAATAGAAATGTATATAGAGCCATATCATAAAATAGGAGTTTTATCTTTATGTAGGATGAGTCGGCGTATAAAGTAGAAATTGTAAATGGTCATAATTGCTTGCTTTTGGGCTGGGGATTTACCTCAGTGGTGCCGCCACCTGCCTCACAACCACAAGGTCCTGAGTTAAAACCCTGGTGCCAAAAAACACCCCAAAAATCTCTCGCTTTTGATGATCTTTCAAATCATCTAAAAATTACAATACAGTATATATGATTTTGAATATATTAGCCAGATAATGCATATCATGTACAAATATAATAAAGATTATTTGGTAGGCAACAAACAGTTAAGGCAAAGGCAGAATCTTCATAGTGTTCGGGGCACAAACATGAAACATAGCTCAATCATAGAAGTTGTGGCAGGAGATAAGGCAGCAAATCAGAGACCAGATTATGTAGGGAATTTGATGGTTCTGACGACAAAAAAGAGCCAGTTTGATCCTTCTAGGAAGTAGCATTGAACACCCATGTTGTCTCATTTAAACCAGTACAACTGTGAAATATGTGCTCTTAATTTATAGATGAGGAAAGCTCTGAGAGATAGTATGTTCATTTAAAGACACAGTGTGTGAGTCACCCGTATTATATAACTTTTCTTGCTTTCTTTTTAAAACAACTTGAATTTGCCTAAATTAAATGTGAAAGTTATGTGAGTACTATAAAGGAAATCATCTCTAATCTCAGTCCTTAGAGATGGCCATTTTTTTAAATATTTGTGTTAGTTGGGTTTTTCCATCCAAACAAAGACACAGCTGCTGATTTTAGGAATTTAATTTTGTGTATGCATGTGTTTGAGGCAGGGTCTCCCTGTGTTGCCCAGGCTAGTCTCTAGCTCCTGGGCTCAAGTGATCCTGTTGCCTCGGCCTGTGGAGTGCTAGAACTATATAGGTGCCATCCAGTGGGCCCACCTCATTTTATGTATATTTTGTGTATTTCCTGTAATCCATTCTAGGTTAATCTTTATTTCTGCAAATTCTTTATCGGATGTGGTAAGCTTCATCAACATTTGGTAGCATTATATTGCTTATTCGTTACGTTTTTTCCTTATTTTGCAGGAACTTGTTTAATGAACTGAGGATTGTTGTTGAACATATAATAATGAAACCTGCCTGCCCGCTGTTTGTGAGAAGACTTTGCCTCCAGAGCATTGCCTTTATAAGTAGATTGGCACCAACAGTTGTGTAGTTTATCATCTAGTTAAGCAGGGTATATAACATAAGCATTATTAGCAGCTGGTACTTCTGCTAAGGGTCATAAAATCCAGGTCTTACACTGACCGCGATCCAAGTTACATAAAAGCATCTCATTGGAAAAATAATAATTTCTCTGGCATGTTAAATCAACCCTTTTTAATAAAAGTTTCTAAGAAAATTTTCTGCACTCTGTGGCTAATGGATAAGGAAGTTTATATCTAGGGGTAAATATACCAAATTTTTTTTAGATGCTGCTGTACCTGTATCATGAAATACATTTACTTCATGTAAAGCTAGTTCTAAAATGTTTCACCCTAATTAATAATCTGAGTTTATATCTAGCATGTGTTCAGAATGATAATAACATGTGAATTCAGTGTACTTTGAGACAGTATTCTTTTACCATTCAGTAATTTTGGTTGATTTTAACAGAAATTATTCCAACTATAATTTTATTTCAAATTGTTACTGAATTTGTGCTGCCTTGCTAGGACAGCTGTTAGGGGTCACATGACTATTTTCTATCAAAAAGTAGTAGTGACATGGCTTCCTTTTAGAGACCCATTGAGTAACATTTATCAAGTAGAAAATCCTTTTACAGATGTGAACAGATAGGTTATTAGTATAATTATAATTCGTAGAATTATCAAGTTCAGATTCTTGACTCTAGTTTTTTTGGTCTCTTAGGCTTGAATTTTCCTAGACAGTTGCCGCAGTTCAGATGCTGTGTGAAAGGAATGTAATTGAAGTTTGAGAATATATGCCTATACTTGTGTCTGTTATGAAATAATGAAGGGTATCCTGTAGATTACATATTTTTCCATTAAATTTGGTTTGAAAGGTTAAATGTCAAGGTTTATAGGGAAGGCAGTTCAGTGATAGTATGGCTGAGGGAGGAGTTGTGGGGGAGTAGTGTGCATTTTAATTTCATAGTACTATGACTAGGGGAATTGGATATATTATGAAACTGACTTGGGTAGTATAATGTGTTCAATCCTGTTCATTGAGCTCCCATCAACTGCTTTATAAAATTTATTCTGATCCTTACTACTGTTGCATGATTGGAAATGTTTAAAACATTGCACAGTTTTAGACTAGAGTAATGAAATGGTTTTTGTAACCAATTTTCTTCTGTCTGCATGTCATTTGGATTTCTCAAATACATTCATTAGTGACTTAGCAGTAACATTTTTCCTTTTGTTCAACTTCCTAATTTATAGAAAGGTGATATTCTTAGGATAGATTACCAGAAAAATTCCACTTGGTAGCTTAACTACAACTGGCTATTTTTGTATTTTTGTAATATTTATCCACTAAATTGGATAAACAACCTCATGATATACAGTTGATTTTGTATGTGTATATGGCTAGCCTTATTACTATTTATGTAATTGATGGTTTTAAGAATTAAACTTTTTAGAGCAATAAAGTGACTACAATGTTAAGTAAACATACTGATTTCTAATGGTGTTTTAAAATATTATCTTAAATTACATCAAATTTTGGCAGCTGAAGGCACATTCTGAAAGGTTTTTTCTACAGGTTTTTTTTTTAAATCTGGAGATAATTTTACTTATAGAAGAGTTTCAAAAATAGTGCCAAGAGATCCTGTATACCCTTTACTCAGCTTCCTATTATGTTAATGTCTTACATAACTGGTAGAACATTTGTCCAAAGTAAGAAATTAACCCTGGAACAATACTATTAACTGAAGTACAAAACTTATTTAGATTTCTGTTTATTGTGTGTGGCTTGTTTTTAACTTGATTATCTTTTATTTTTAAAGGTTATGTCTATGTTTTTCTTCTTTCTTTATTTATTTTTTTCCTTCTTTATTTTTAAAGTTACTGCTGATGGAAAAGTTTTCCCTAAAGTAAATATTCCATGTTAGTTTTAACAAAAATAATTTTAATTTTAAAACTACACCAATTTCACATATCTTCTGATTTAATTCTTTTTAATCATATAGCAGAATTTAATACTTCTAATATGTTCATGTTTGAATGAAGGTACAGATTTACGCCTTACTGGAAGGCTTAATATATAATACTCTTAGACCCATGAAAAAGTAAATTTTATAAGTTGAGCATGATTAGATGTTTACTTTGCATGAAATTGGTAGTTAGAAATTCTGCATTGTGAATATTTACAAGTGGCTGACTTGGCAACTGAAATGATAATATTACATGTATCAAATTAAAATTAAATATAATAGCAATATATAGATAAGATAACTGTGGTAGGAGAAATTAAGTCTTTGTGCATTACTTAACTTATTTTTTCTTACAGGTTTAAAAGGAGTTGATTTAACTTCCCAAATATCTAATTCTTTAAGAAATGGTATAGTGCAGTTGGTGGTGAACCTATGGCACATGTGCCACAGCGGGCTGTTGTATCATTGAAAGCTCTAAAAAGTTCGCCATCACTGGTATAGTGCATAACCCTCCTATACAGTTATAGGTCTCATACAAAACCTACTTTATTCTAGCAAGTATTCTGTATTCCTTTTGTATACTTGATTTTTCATTAATTTAAATCATATTTAACATTAATCTAAAGAGAAATTACTCAAGTACAATTTGTATTTTAAGTTTTCTTGATATAAAATTCACCAGGGTACATGCTTCTGTAAAAAAGCAAGAAATCTTTTTTAAAAATTACATTTGGATATTTAAGAGTATCCCTGACAAGCGAGGCATGGTGATCAACACACCTATAATCCCAGTAGTCTGGGAGGCTGAGGCAGAAGGATTACAAATTTGAGCCCAGTCTGGGCACCTTACCAATACTAGGTCTTAAAATTTTTTTTAAAAATGTAATAAAGGGGGCAGGAGGTGTAGCTCAGTGCAAAGACTGTGGGTTTAAATCCCCAGAACTACACCAAAAAAAAAAAAAAGACTCCCTTACAGAGACCATTAAAGCAAGCCAATATTCAGCCTTAACCCAAAAGTTATAAAAGGTTAATGGGTTCTGGTATATCAGTAAGAGTTGCAAAACTATCAATATTTCTTTCCTAAAGATCAGGATAAAAAATCCTGATCAAGTTTGTACATTTAGAACATGAACATTACATATACTAAAAAGGAAAACAAGTATATGTAACGACAAGTAGAACTGAGAGATTTAGGGTTCTCTCATACATTTCAGATGAGAGTGTATGAACTTAATTTGAGGAATTGTGGTAGTCTTCCCCAACCTTACCTGCGCCAGATCTAAGGATCTGCTAGCCTCAAAGCTGTCACCCAGTTTTGATAGTTAGAAATTAAAACTTCAGTAAGGCGCCAGAGATTTAGCTCAGTGGTTCCGCCACCTGCCTCCCAAGCACAAGGTCGTCCCCCCCCACCCCCCGAGTTCAATCCCTGGTACCAAAAAAAAAACTCAGTAGGAAAAGCGGCCACAGTTATGTTTGTAATCATTAGATGTCACTCTCACCTCAGGTAGCTCCCTATTTTCAGATGCCACTGAAGTGCTGAGTCAGCTGTAAAACTTAAGGATCTGAATTTGATGTATGTTAGTTCAATTTTGAGCAAACAATTTAGAAACCATTTACTATGAGTACTTCTTTTTGTGTGCTAAGGATTAAAGCCAAGGCCTCATACCCTACCACTGAGTTACACCCTCAACCCATGAGTACTTTTTAAAAATACTGAAATGTTCAAAAGCACCCTATCAATATCTGCTGAAAATAGTAAAATGGGCTGCAGCTGGATGTGACATACAGATTATAATCTTTTTTTTTCAAAGTGCCTAAATTACCTAAACACATCAGTTACAAAATTGTTTTCATTTTCAGATGTGTCATCATTTTGTAAGTACACTAGATGTAGTCAATTTAATCTTTTAAGATTTAGACTTCATAGTAATATAAAAGTACTGTATATTGACATTTTTGGATATTAAGAATGGTACCAAGATTGACAGCTAGTTTTTCTTAACACTTTATTGGGATTTTCTAGGATTAGGAGAATTCCTCGGAGGCTGTATGATAGGATAGCTCAACAGATAGTATACCAAAGGCATGACTTTAAAAATCCAGAAGTTACTTCCAGAGATGGTTTTATTGAATAGTCAGTCCTCTTATATTTTGGGTAGAATTATTGTTGGATCTGGTATTAAGGATAAGAAAGGAGCTGCTAAAAGTTTGAAAGGTTTCGTGGTGGTAATTTTTATTTTTGGTACTGGGGATCAAACTCAGGTCCTTAACGCTTATGAGGCAGGCACCAGAACCACTGAGCTAAATCCCCGACCCTTCCTGGTCATAAAATTAATTTACAAAATGTTTGTGTTCTGAGGTGGTACTCAGATGGGCTGTTCAAAAGGAAAGTGTTCCTATGTGAGGGATTCTCTGTCTTTGAGTACATATAGGAAAACTGACATGCATTTAGTTGGAGTGGACATGAAAAGACAAAGTATAGTATTTCCTTAATCTAAAGCAGATTCTTAGAAAATGATTGAAATCTTAACAATTAGCTCATATTCTAGGAGAAAGAAGGACCCAAGAATCATTTCACTTTCTCTTTCATAACCTTGTAAAGCTACTTTTTTGATTTCACTCATCACTTTCAAACTCTTTTTCTTTTCTTGGTTCATGACAGTTTAACTTCAAACTTCTATTTTTCCTTTGTAACTTTGAAGGGAGAACTAGTCCTCTTGACATAATTTTTGCCTACACATGTATTTATAAGTTGAGACCAAATGAGCAAAATATTGGGCAGGTAACATTTATTATGTGTATATATTGGACCAAATGTAAAAGGGTCACAAAAATTAGAAACAGTCATAAAAAAACTACTTGATTTATAAATACATTACTTCTGGTGCTCTATATTAATGGGATATAGTGAACAAAAATTTGTATATACAGTATGTCAGCATTTCATAGTAACTTCTCTTTAATCCATTTTTAATATCTAATACTGTACAGGTTGGGGAGTTATACTCTTCAGGCCAATACTATCCAGACTATAAATTTATAAAATAAATTGAAAAATTCATCATTCTCCTGTATTCAAGACCAAAGCACATAATGCTAATGTAAGGCTCAGAGGGGAAATATAGTTCTCCTGCATATTTGAGAAAATGTGAAGTCCTTTCAAGAAAATCTAATAAACATAATAATCATAGCCTGCTGACACCAAGGAAAAAAGATCTCATTCGCTTTTTCTTTTATGCAGCAATTTACTGGTCCCTACTGATTTCCAAATTGGATCACTGTAGTAAATTATCTGTGCTGGTACCTGTGAAAGTAAGCCCGGGGATCCATATTTGTTTTGTGTTCTGCTTAAATCAGCAAGAATGATAAATCTGATGGTGTGAAATTGGAAGTATCAAGGGCTTTCTTTGGTGATTGAGCAAAGTAATATCTTCACTTGTAATTTATTGTGACCTTTTTTCACTGTATGTGCTTTGTATGTTTAATATTTATTTCAATACAAATTAAATTGTTCTTTCATCTATAATGTTATATCTAAGATCTTATTGATATAAAATCAAATTGTATAATAAAAATCTCTGGATTTAAGCAGATTTTAAAATGTTATATTGCAGAAGTACATTTACAGTTAGAATTCACCTTTCTTTTGAGCTTAATTGCCTTATTATTAGAATAAGGTGAATTTGAACACTTCTGTTCTCAGCCCATTACAAATAATAGAAATGCTGTGACTTTGGGAGACTAATATGAAACTAGCAAACAGGAGTGAGTCAGTAAAAAGAAAAACTACATTGGATATATCAGCTGCTTGCTTGTTTCTGTACTTTTTTTATCTAGTTAAATTTATAGCCTACTGGATTTATTTATAACCTTAAAATGATTCACAATATACAGTCTATCCAAAGTCATTAGTCAAACAGGATAACCTAGAGGAGGATATTTCCCTTCTAGGTGTTTAAAATTGGCAGGTATTTCTTGTAATAATTTTACAACTGGTACTACATAACACCAGTTGCAAGTTACACAAATCCTTGTCCAATTGGAGCTGACAATCTAAAAGGCATAGAAATCTCTGGTATATAAGACAGTTCGGATAGGTGTAAAATATCAAATCAATTAGTAAATTGTTCACAAAAGGGTAAAAGTGTTTAATAACCCCCAAAATAAATAGAATTAGAGGCTAGGGATGTAACTCAGAGGTACAGTGCTTGTCTAGCATGCATAAAGCCCTGGATTCAATCTTCAGCACCCCCCCCCAAAAGTGTTAGGAAAATTGATTTCCTGAAGATTTGATGGTATAGGGCCTTAGAGATGTACATGTTCTTGATTCATAATGCACTTTGCTTCAGCATATGGGAATACTTGGAGCTGTTTGTAACATGATTCTGAGCTTTGGGAAGAGGGAGATCATGAAACTCCTCCAAGAAGTGGTAGACAGATCCTAGAATAGGGGATGTTTCAACCACAGTCTTTTTAAAGCCTATTTTAGCTGGACATGGCCAGTGAATGCCTGTAACCCTAGTATTTGGGAAGCTGAGGCACTAGGATCATAAGTTCTGGGCCTGTCAAGGCCACTTAGTAATTGCTGTCTAAAAAATAAAAAATGGCTGAGGCTGTAGCTCAATGGGAAGGTTCTGGGTTCAACTCCCAGGACTGGAAGGAAATAAAAGGTTTTATGGCAGCTGTAATTAACTGTGTATTTATATGTTTCCAGTAACATTAAAATCTTTTAACCCTTTGACATTAAAATGCACAAATAACCTTGAAGAAAGTTTGTTTTTTTGTTTTCTATATATTGGTGTGCTGGTAGTTTTAAAACATTAGACTCTTAGTTACAGGCAAACTGCTTTCTGTTGGTAAGTTTTCTGAAAAGTAATTCTAGTAGCTCTTATTTTTCATGTAATAATAGAAGGAAAAAGATACATGGTTTGATTTTATTTGTTGTAAAGAATTTTTAGATAATTATCTGTTTTCAAATGAGCTAATGAATTTTTCCATTTATTGCATATAACAGGCAGTGGGCAAAAAAAATTTTTTTAGTCTCAATTTTTGAGAAATTCCAAAGACAAGTCAGCAGAAATTTCTGACTAATAATCGGGAAGGAAAAACTGCTTAAGATTACAGTTTTCATTCGGACCATCCATATTCACTGACTGAGTGCACATTTTCATATTCAAAGTGGCAGTGTCAGGACAGCAGCCCATTCTTTGGGATATCATCATTTGGGTATTCACATGATTAGTTCTTTTAAAATTTATAGAATAAATAGTTTAGGACTTAGGAAGGATCTCCATACACTTTTCTGTTTGTCTAGTCTTAGATACTCTTACACATGCCTTCAAAGGTTTTTTTTTGGTTTTGGTTTTTTGAGACAGTCTCACTATGTAGTTCAGATTGGCATGGAACTCATTATGTAGCCCAGTCTGGTCTTGAACTCACAGTGATCCTCCTGCCTCAGTCTCCCAAGTGCTGGGATTACAAGTGTGCGCCACCACACCTGGTTCCAAAGTTTTAAGTGAAGATACAAGGAGATACTCTTCTCTTGTAAATGAATATTTTTGGTCATCAGTATGGATACCCTCACTGCCATACTAAGACAGAATATTAAATAACTAGTATGCCAAATGTTCTATTTCTTTTGCTTTGAAGTAATATATTATTACAGTCATTAGTTGAACTTATCTCTGGTTAGTTTCATGTCTCTGTAATTTTTAATTTATAGACTGTCCAACCCATTCCTTTTACCTTTTTAGTTTCACTGTTACATAGACTATACAAAAGCCCTTTTGAAGAGTAAAACACAAGTTTGGATTATAATTGACCATGTAGTAAATCTGGTTATAAATCAAGATGTAAAGTCACACAAAAGCTTGAGGATTATTTAAAAACGCTATTAAGTGTTAATCAAGGGTCTTAAACTGATGACTAGGTTTTTACTATTTACTATTACCCAAGGAAAAGAAATTCAAAGGTTGATATCACACACATAAGACACTTTAGAGGTCCTAAGAAAGTAGGTGAATTGGCTAGGGACAGAACTATTAGTAGGTGAAAGACTGACTTGAGCTCAAAAGTATATGGTTAACACAAAGCCTTCAATTTTTGGGGGGGGGCATCGGGGTTCAAGCTCGGGTCCTTGTGCATGCAAAGCAGGCGGAGGAACCACTAAGCTAAATCCCCCGCCCTCAAATTTTAAATTTTTAGGGATAAGGGTTGTAGCTCAGTGGTAGAGTAAGTATATGCTTAGTGTATGCAAGGCCCTGGGTTTAATTCCCAGCACCAAATAAATAAATAATTTAAAACCCTGCCTCCCACACGATGGATCTAATTTAACAACCCAAATGTTAAAAATTTTATCCAGAAGTTACAAATTCATACAGTATCAGGAGTAATGTCAGGAATTCATAATAATAGTTCCAGTCTTTGCACCTTGTCTTAGTTTTCCTGGACCTCATTCTCTTCCCTATAGAATGTAATCAGGAGAATTATTTTGAGGATTATTTGAGGTTGTGTATGTTAAAGTGTACACTGATTTGTGCAAACAGCTAAATATACATGATGCTTCCCTTTTTACTTTTAGAAATTATAGGATTCTTGGGTTTTTAAAGAACTACTTTCAAGATCATACTCAGAGTTTTAAAAACAGGCACCATGTTTTAAATCAACACTTTTATGTGCAGAAGCAAAATTTTGAAGGCTAAGGGAATAGCTCAGTGGTAGAGTGTGTGTTTTGAATGCTCAAATCCCTGGTTCATTCCCCAGCACCAAACTAATTTTGTTAAGAGAATTTTTTCTCTCTCATGAAGGTACAAAGCCTTATATCAACAACTCTGTCTGTATCACCTCAATTCCAGAGCTTATGCAAGGGACAGAGACTAAAAGTGCTTCTACTTAGAAAATCAGATCCACCTCTGTAACTTTTAAGAGCTCGCTCCAGACATACATTTTCAAAATTAGTGAATGATTAAAAATCCTCTCCAGAAATCTAAACTATCACAAATTAATACAAACAGCACAAAACTCAATCTGTAATTTGCACAGAATATGGCCCAGAATTATGATATCCTTCCCTCTCCAGTTTTGTTTGTTTTTAAACTGAGGATTAGATCTAAGGCCTTTGTACTGAGCTACATCACCAGCCTTTTTTTGTTTTTTTGTTTGTTTGTTTTGTTTGTTTATTTTTTGTACGGGGGCGGGGGGGATCGAACTCGGGACCTTGCGCTTGCGTGGCAGGCACTGGAACCACTGAGCTAAATCCCCGGACCTTTTTTTTTGTTTTGAGATGGTTTCTCTCAAGTTGCAAATTTGTGACCCTTCTGCATCAGCCTCCCAGAGTGCTGTTATAGGAGTGCATCATCACACTTGGCTAAAATTGTAATTCTATTGTTAGGGGACATACTCAAAGATTAAGCATGATTTGATTGTTATTCTAAGTGGAACTCCCAGGAAGTGGAACAGTTAAGACCTTTATTGTTGGAAGGCTGAAAAGTCTGGCCATTCTCTAGGGCTCTGAAATCTTGACAGACCTGATTTCAGTCACTTTTTAGCTTTGTAGGCTCTGTTTCTGTGAAACATAACAATACCCCATGTTTTGTGAGATGATAAAATGAACTCAAACACTGTGTTTAGCACAGTGCTTTGTATATGAAGACTCAGTAAATTTTGGATATCATCATCTGTAGTTTAGAACAATTCTGTGATTGGTTCATTGAATACATTAACAATTTCCCACATACTCATATCCTGAACAGTCAGAAAATAACTACAACTGTTCTCTAAATACATATAGTAATAATTGATACTTGTAATGATGACCAGCCATCATTTACCCCCTACCCAGGAGTTGAAAATTTTTAATTGTCAGAGAAAATTTAAAATTTTAGATGTTACATACATAATAATGTGATATAATGGTAACAACACTTGTTTCAGTAACTCCTTTGTAGAACTGTGACCTTTGGTAACACATTTAACCACTATGAACATGGCTCCTCTTAGAAAATAGGAGCAATACAGCACCCAAATCATTAGAGTATGGATGATGAATGGGGCTTTCTTGCTGTTCCTTTCCATTTTCTAGAATGCTGAATCTCTAAAGACTGCCTTAATAGAAGTGTAGCCTTTCAGTGTTACCTAAGATAATGGAGGAAAAGTATCGGTGCAGTGAGAGATCTAATTGCATTAGATAGTTTACCTAAGGTTCAGACCCCCAGGAGGATTTACTCTCTTTGCCTCATGCACACTGAGTTTCTGAAACCACTATCTGTTAGAGCCAGATATCTGTTGGATATCACCACTATCTGTTGGAGCACAGAAAGACTGACAACACCCTTTGGAGGCAAGACCAGGAGAGAGAGCTGGAGCTGACCTTTAAGGAAGCTACATCCAAAGGACCAAGAGACTGTGTGTGTAGCAGCACTGTCCAGTAGAAAGACAATGCAAGGTACAAATGCTAGCCTCATGTAATTTTTAATTTTCTAGCAACCACATAAAGTTAAAAAAGGCTGGGGATGTAGTTTAGTG